GATAAAAAACTTTTGCTAGACTTGTGAGTGTTCGAATAAATATTTTGACTGGTGACCCTCACTTCTTCATAAAAAATAATGAACAAACATGTCAAATTTGTTTCTGATCAGGGAATGCTAAAATGGAAATTGCCTTCTCTTCCAACCTTTTTCACAGTCGTTAACTAAATTAACGAGGAAATGTGGTTAGTGCAACCAACTTTATAACAAAGTGAATGATTTAAATGCTGTTACATCTGCTAGATGGATAGTTAGCATACTGTAAGAGCGTCAGACATTACTGTGGAAGAAGCCATAAGCTTCAGACTGTAAAGAGTTAAATGTCAACACGTCAAAACGCAGGTCTAAATTATTAGAACAATTTCGATCTCTACTCACTGGTGTCTTTGGTATCAATCTGCTGGCTAGTACTTATAAGTTCTTGGTGTGTTGACAACGTTGCAGAGAATTGATAGCTGAGGCTGAGAAGGCTGCAGAGGCCCTGGAAATAGCTGCCCAGAAGAGCCCTGTTGCTCGTGCATCGCTCATTGAAACACGGAAGCTCATTTCTGAAGCAATCCAGTCCATTGAATCTATAGAGAACGAGGTGGCTTTTATAGATGGAAATCTTTCACCTCCTTCAACTGAGCTGGTAAGCCACGCTGCAGATGAGATTGGAGCTCTAGATGATGCTGGTGAAAGAATAAATGGTTGGCATGCTGTTATGCCTCTGGAAAGTGGTATCAATGATTTAGAAAATGGACAACATGCCTTGCAAGGTTTACTGAATGGTAAAAGCAGTGCTCTCTTGTCAAGCTCGGGTGAATATGACATACTGGGTGACAGGGACGAAGTCTATCAATTGATTTCCAGTGAGATATCTCCAGAAAAAGGAGCCAATATCACACAGCCCTCCACCTCCACTGAGAAACTTGATGGAGATGAAGCTAATGAAAGCCCAGGAGATGAAAAGAAACCACTTCCAAACGGATTGATATCTGAGTCAAAGATTGAGGAGGTGCCGAGTCAGCCCCCGATAACCACCACCAAGAAATGGGTACGTGGGAAGCTGGTTGAAGTAGGTGAAGGATCTTAGATTAGAAGAAGGAAAATGTGGAGTATCTGATTTACACACTTGGATTGCATCTCACGGGTGCAATATAGAGTAATAATTTATGGTTGCGACAAATTTTGACGAACACTTGTCTCTGCAAATCGTAGTCAAAGCTTCGCGCTGCTTGATAGTTGCAATAGGCTTTTCGTTCTCTAGTTCATGCTAGATACATATTCTCTTGTAATATTAATATATTTTCCATGACCATTTCTGTAAAGTTTCAGCATAGAACTGGCCGCAGTGTAATTTTAATTTTTATTCCAATTATGATGACATTTGATTCGTTTCTATAAATCTTAAAGCAAAACATGAGCAACTTAGATTACATGACCAACAAGAAGATACAGATAGCTGTTTTGACTATTACATCCGAATGCAGCGATCGAGTACAAAGTGATGGGCATGTCACAGAGCATCTGGATTTTGGGAGTTAAGGCTTTATGGGTTGATCGAGTTGGAGATAACATTCCAGTTCTTGAGTTGAGAGTCGATAGCATTCTCCAATTCTCGCCTCTTCCTTTCTTTCTCTTCCCTGGCTGGATTGATCTCCGCTTCAACTTGTTCCTTCTGCGACATAACATTCTAAATTACTACATGCTTCTCTAATTAAGCTTGCATTTTAGGCCTTAAAATTTCATTTGCAGCAATTGAGGTTAGAAGAGAAATGCGGGCACTTACGTCGACAACGTCAGGGATTGGAAGCTTGGTGCCGTGGACGGCGGAGCGGTTCGCTGCTTTACCGACGAGACGCAGTGTATTATGACGGAAAACGACTGCAGTAGTCCGCCATGTGTGTGGTACTTTCATCACTCCGTTCATTTCTTCTATTAACCCAACTTATTATTCTTCAGAGTAGCTCAACAACTAGCTATGTTCTTTTTAGTAAGAGAAAGTGAGAACAGGGAGAGTGTTCTGGACACTGACATTATGGCTATGCAGCCACGTGGCGTCTTCTTCTGACGTCTCGCTCTTTCTCGAGCTGTCTGTCCAGGTGTCTCTAGTTGATTCTCACACGGTGAACACATTTGAAGAAGTCACAAGTTTAGTTGTAGTACTGGTCCCAATTAGACCTTATTTATTCCGCTACTTAAATACTCCTTCCGTTTTAATTTACGTGAATTTAAATAATTTACGTGAATTTATTTAATAAACACGAAATTAAAAAAAAAAATGTAGAGTTTTGAAATTTGTGGTCCTAAACAATTTAAAAAGAGATCGATAGTATTTGTGTGGTTGGAAAAGATTCTCATTAAGGGTAGATTGTAAGTTTAAGCTAAATTATTTTCAAATTTAGAAATGGTCAATCTTTTTACAACGGATCAAAAAAGAAATAGGTTGACATAAACTGGAACAGAGGGAGTTGTACTTACTAACTACCATTTTTTTTCTTTCACGGCACAATATAAAGTTGTCGTAGGTACAAGCTAATTGTATTCGCTAGTTAAAAATATATAAACTATAATATATATTATATATACAAACGATAAATATATATTTAACTAGTGTTTGGCTATAAATTCCTAAATTTATTTTAGAAAATCTGATTTGTATGAAGTTTGGTTTGAAGATGAAAATTTGTTTGGACATAATTTTTTAAAACATATATATATATATATATATTGAAAAAAACATGAAATGTGACATATACTCGTAAGTTCTAAAACTATTAAAAAAATACCCAACAATACCAAACAAACAAACTTGATAATCTTGTATATGCAGAACCTTCATCTATGTCATTCATTATAATTATCACAAACCATAGTCTTGAACGTAGATAAATTTGGCACAAAATTATCATGTTTATGATGAACTACATAATACACTATTTCTAAAATCATAGCATCATATTTTAATATCAACTGCTAATAACACAATTACTAGCCATTTTAATTTGTCAAATTGCAATAATATTACAAGATCCATCAGTCCAAAAGAAAATGATAGTAATTAGCTGGTGGTTAGTTGGGTCATAATAGATGGTGAGTTTTTTTATAAAATACAAAAGTTTGGGGTAATTCTTGAAATTATTAAAAAAATCCAACAGTAATATTTTGTGCCCAAAAACAGGTCTAGCGCTAGTTTGGGGATTTGGAAATTTTATTTTCAAAATATGTCAAAATATGGATAAATTCTATAAACTAACAAGTTTTGCCAATTTTTTTTTCGAAAAAACCTGACAAAATCTATGATCAAACAGGGCCTAGTGACTGTGGCCTTTTTCACTAGTTGGTCCGACCATGTTATCTTCTGGGATTTTTACCTAGCTATACTGTAATAGAAACCTATTTACTACCTTTATTTAGGTTCCTTATTAATTACTTTATGTACTTATATTTACTAGTTTTATACAAAATCATAAAAAGGAGAAAATAAAAAATACCTTAAATATTGGGTATCAGTTACACTTAATCCCCTACATTTAAGATACTCTTCCTTTTTCCAAGGAAAATTATATATGTTATTGTACTTACCCAAAATCATCACCGTAAGAAACCCACTGAACCCCAAAATCATCACATCTCTTTGTACTTACCCACAGTAAGAAACCCATTGATACCCCTAATCTTTCTAACCCAAAAATCTCGCTTACTCACTCCTCGTCCACTGTTTATCCCCCCAAAATTGCAGATTCTTTCCTCTTCCAAAGCTGTTGATATACGATTTCTATCTTTATTCGTCCAAAATCTCTTTCTTATTTATACAAACAGAAGAAATTCGAAGATTTGCTCTACAATCAAGTTGTGGGTAAACTTCACTCTACATTAAAGTTGGTTTTAGGTTGAATTTCATAATGAAACTGGAGGAAGATGAAGTATCGGTATCGTATTACGATTGTATGATAAAGGTATCATAATTTTATCTGAGTTGTATTTGATACATCAATACCTAAGACAATTCTAATACAATACTAATACTATTAAAATACAACATTGTATTATAATTTAAGTTTAGAGTTGGTTCTAGGTGGATGTTTTAAATTGAAACTTGAAAAATATGAAGATAAAAGTTGTATCATAATTTTGAATTGTATCACAATTTATACCTAAAACAATAAATGATACAATACTAATACAAGTATAATACGATATTGTATCAGTTTAAGTTTAGAGTCGGTTTTAAGTTGTATCATAATTGCATCAGAATTGTGTAAGAATTCTTTCAGGATTGTATCAAATTTGTATGTGAATTATGAGCAGTTGTGAGACCGTGACGAATTTCACAGTTTGTATCACAAATACATGATAGTTACATATTAATTTAGTAGTATTGTATCAGTATTATTTTGGATATTAATGTACCATCTACAAGTTATATACAATTGTGATACAAGTATGATACAATTACATTTTACGTATTGATGTATCTAATACAATTAAATACAACTATGATACATTTATCATACAATTCCTGAATATTTTTTCATTTTCAGTGTTGTCCGGTCTCCCAACAAAAGAACGATGTAATTGATGATTTAATAATATAAAATTATCGAAAATGGTGGGAAGAGAGAAGATGGAGATTTTGGGCGAAGATTCAGGAATTTTGTTGTAAAAAAAAAAGGGAGAAAGAAGAGGAGAGGGGAAAAAAGGAAAGGATATAATTGAATCACTTAATTGAAGGCAGTAATAATGGTTGGGAGCCTTTTAAGGAGCAATCTATACAATTTGTAAGAAAAACCTAGATACATATTAAAAATTACAAAACATAGAGAATATTGGTAAATAAATTTCTAATATAGTATAGCTCGGTAAAAGTCCCTTATCTTTTGGACTGTGACCCTTCAAATAGCCCAGGCCCAACAATTGAATCTGGTTACGAAAGAGAACTGGACTTAACCACTATACCAACCATGTAACTATGCGCAGCCCAAGACTTTTGAGGGGCCAGGCAGATTGATGGCGGGTCAGTTTCTTCTACCGACAAACGACGATTTACTATGATTAATTTTCAGTAGTACTTCCTTCGGCCACACCCTTCCCTCCTAGAAATGCTTTACAAATCACAGTAGCAGTTGTTAACTTGACGGGACCACGCACCAAACAGATCTTATCAGTGTTCTTAGCTCACTGTTAACACTCCCCTCTGGCTCTGTTTACAGTGACAGCGTAGAGTATAAGAAATACTCCACTCTACTCATCAAAATTATCAAATGTGCATTCGAAATCCGTAGCAACATGATGAGAGACAGAGAATCCTCTGACGAAGAAGATGATCGAGAGAACTTGATCCAGCAAAATGACCATCCCAAATCTCCACTTCGCTCCACATTCCAAATCGACGACGTCAAGGACCGATTTGCTTTTAATCGGCGTTTTAATTTTACCTTTAGTAAGAGGTATTTCTTAGCAATTATTCTCCCAGTCTTAGTACTCATTCTTTATTTCATCACCGATATCAAAAACCTCTTCCAAACAACCGTTACAAACATCAAGTATGATGGTTCCATCAATTCTATGCGTGAGTCCGAATTGCGGGCTCTTTATTTGCTTAGACAGCAGCAATTAGGGCTTTTTAAGCTGTGGAACCACACATTAGCTAATGATACTTCTAGTACAGGATTAAGTAGCTTTGTTTCAAAGTCTTCTACTGTAGAAGATCTCAAATCTGACTTGCTTAGTCAGATTTCACTAAATAAACAAATTCAGCAAGCTCTTTTGTCTTCTCATCAATTAGGTAACTTGTTAATTACATCAGATAATTCTACGGACCCTAGTTTCGGTGGTTTAGGTAGGTGTCGGAAGGTGGATCACAACTTGTCACAGAGGAAAACTGTTGAGTGGAAACCGAGATCCGATAAATACTTGTTTGCTATTTGTGTCTCTGGTCAAATGTCAAACCATTTGATTTGTTTGGAAAAGCATATGTTCTTCGCGGCTCTGCTCAACCGCATTTTGGTTATTCCAAGCTCAAAAGTTGACTATGAGTTTAATCGAGTGTTGGATGTTGATCATATAAATAAATGCTTGGGGAGAGAAGTAGTTGTAACCTACGAGGAATTTGCAGAAAGACGAAAGAGCCACGTGCATATAGATAAGATCATTTGTTATTTCTCTCAGCCACAGCCTTGTTTTTTGGACGATGAACGTGTTAAGAAGTTAAAGTCGTTAGGAGTTTCTATGAATAAGCTTGAAGTTGCTTGGGATGAGGATGTTAAGAAGCCAAAGAAAAGGACTGTCCAAGATATAACGGCAAAATTTTCTACTGATGATGATGTTATTGCAATTGGTGATGTGTTCTTTGCTGATCTGGAGAAGGACTGGGTGATGCAGCCTGGTGGCCCCATTTCCCACAAATGCAAGACACTTATTGAGCCAAGTCGTCTTATTATGCTTACAGCCCAGCGTTTCGTCCAAACATTCTTGGGAGATAACTTTATCGCTCTACATTTCCGCAGACATGGTTTTCTGAAATTCTGGTACGTTTCTGTTCGATGCTGCATCTAGTGTTTATTATATGTTTCTTTTGCATCTGGCTTTTGTTGTATCTAATTTGTGTGATGTTCTTCTTCTTAGCAATGCCAAAAAGCCAAGTTGCTTCTATCCTGTTCCTCAAGCTGCAGATTGTATCAACCGTGTGATTGAGAGGGCCAATTCTCCAGTAATATATCTTTCCACAGATGCTGCAGAAAGTGAAACTGGTTTACTTCAGTCACTTGTTGTATTCAATGGGAAGATTGTACCCCTTGTTAAAAGGCCTGCTCGAAACTCAGCTGAAAAATGGGATGCTTTGTTGTACAGACATGGCCTTGAGGGAGATTCTCAGGTGAGTTAGAGTTTAAACCTTAGAGATGCATTTTCCCATATCCATATGCAGAATATTAAGAAATGACAATTATCTGTCACCACCAGTTGGTCACTTCAGTACTGGAACTTCTAGGCACTATCATTCTGGACCCAGCCTCTGGTCTCTAATCATGGTCTATGGAAGAGCAAATCTTGAATTCTTTGAGTCCAACCTGGATCTGTAGTGAAGTAAAATTTTAATTTCAATTCTATTTAGGGAAAGGTAGACTGGTATAGTAGATCTGGTCTAGTTTTATCTTGGATAATTTTGATCATCACATACTTGCATTGGATTCAAGTTTAACTGCTCTAAAATTGAGTTGATTCCAGCTGCAATTCAGTCTTAGCTAATAAGAATCAACTGAAAATAAGCGCAACAAAGCCATAAAGCTATGTGTATCCAAATTAATTTTATGGAATGGACCTAGCGTGATCTAGTTCTTTAGATTCCTTGACAAAGCCATTTGTTAACATGCACATGGCTCAGTAATGGAAAATGGATTGTAATACATAATATAGTTACTTAAATTCCGTGTGTTTCGTTTTAGTCTTATATTTTTATAGTGAAATTCTTGGATGGGATTTCGGCAAGGACAATGAAAACATAAGGCATAAGAAACATGTTTAGGTCGTATTTAGGTCCTCTAGACTGAGAGATCTAATATGTGATTGAAGGGTAGTAAAGCCTTGTTGGTAGCCAGAGTGATGGCTGTTAGAATGCTGTTACCGGTTGTGGCTGTTTTAGCTTATACAGAAAGGAAGAGGTGGCCTTGCTATGCGTTTAGAGGTGTTCGTAGTGTTTGTGGATTGGGAGGGTGGTGCGGTTGTTTGAGTCAGGAGGGGAAGGAGGACATGCAAAGTGGGAAGTTTGAGCCAATTTTCAGATAGATAACATGTGTTGTAAAAGTCTTTTGATGGTAAACAGTTATTTGGTTCTTGGTTGGTTATAGATGTCCTTTAATTCTGCATCGGCTTTGGTTGAATTTTCAACTTCTATTGCATTTAGAGTGAGCGTGTTTAAATGCAAGAACAAATTTAATTTCTTAGACATCAAGGTGATCACAGTATGAAAGTCAAACCGTAACTTCTCGAAGAAAGTCAATCGTCTAACATATGCATATAGCTCATGTTATTATCACCCACAGGGCACTGGCAGTGCATGAGCAGAACTCTTTCGTAAAGTCCGTGTTGCTTTCTCCTTTAGCTTTCTTGCATTCTCTTTTTGAATTTGGTGTTTTTCTTTTTTGCTTTTGGTCTTGCATACTCTTAGTTGTCTATTTCCTTCATTAAGGTGGATGCTATGCTGGACAAGACAATTTGTGCTATGTCTAGTGTGTTTATTGGATCATCAGGGTCTACTTTTACGGATGATATTTTGCGGCTTCGGAAGGACTGGGGATCTGCATCACTTTGTGACGAGTATCTATGCCAGGGTGAACTGCCAAATTTCATCGCAGATGATGAGTGAAACAGATAATGGTTGATCATATTTCTTCTAGTACTCCGCATGAGAGGCTTTTCTAAGCGAGTCACTATGCTTGAATCAATTGCTCTAACAAAGATTACTATGGAGTAAGAATGATATATGTTGTTCTAATGTTTGTTCCATACTTCTTTTCTCGATTCTTTGGCACAGATGGCCTGTTGGGCCGATTCTTTGGTCTGTATTCTATTGTATTATATTTGCTTAGCAGAGAGAGAATGTTTTGTTCTGAGTATCTGTTTTGTCTCTTGCCACTAGTTTTTAGCTTGTAGGCTTGCAAATACACATCTCAATAGTTGAGTATTTTATGACTTCACTTTCTTTTCTGGTAGAACATAAACTACCCTTTTTTCTAGTTTTTTTCTTTTTTTGCCTCTTACGATTTTCTATTTTACATACTGAGGTAATCATAAGTGCGTATATTCAGCGAAACATAAATGGACCATTCAAATATCGATAATGGTTAAAACAAGCGACTAATGTTTGCAAATTTCACTCACCAGTTTTTAATACATTATTTCATCCCTAATAGCTTCTACATCAACTCGAAGGATGGACTTCTGGTTTCAACTTCCACATGCAAAAATTTATTCTTCACTATGTCATACACCAAAGCGTTAAAATTTCTTATTTTATAATGAATAAATTTAGGCAAACATAAATAATACATGAGCGATTTCTGTATAACACATAGGCAATCTATGATTTTAAGAAATTAAGTGGGCGTATGGACATAAGAATTGTAAATTTCCAAAAAAAAGTGAAATGGTATTTGAAAATTAGAGTTGTGTTTGGACATGAATATAATTTTGGATTGTTTTTGAAGTTTTGTGAGTGATCTGAGTGAAAATTTTGAAAAACAGTTATTGAGATCATTAGGATACAAATATTGTATTATTCATAATTGTTTGGAGCAGTTGTACTTATAGCATTACGAGTAGTACCAAGCAGTTAGGTAGTTGGTTGAGTTAGTTAGACTTCCTAAAATTAATTAGTCGGTTAGTTGGGTTTAGGCTCCGTTCGTTTTTCCCTCCTCCGCTTTTGCATTGTATATATACACCTTAGTTGAGTTAATAAGATTGAGACTTTCATTTCCAAACTCATTTTTCCCTCTTCTCTCAAATGCTCTCGTTTTCTGTCTTCTCTTCCAAGTCTCCACTTACGCCATTGGAGCTCCTCTTGAGCTCAATTGTACGTTTGCTTTGTTGATTTTGATAACAGTTTTTTGGAGTTTTTTAAATTTTCGAAAAATTTCAAAATTCGTTTTCAAGTGAAAATTAAAATTTAATGGCCAAACACTGATTTAGAAAAAAAATAAAAAAAAAATTTGAAAAATAAAAAATGAAAGAATTCTTATGTCCAAACGGGCTCTAAAGATCATTGGAAATAACTCTAAAAGTATGCTCATAGTTGGCATCAAGTAACAACGGTGAAGAAGAGCGAACGAAGAAGAGCGAACAACGACAGGTGACACAGCAAAAAATCAACTTTTGGTTTTTGCTAAGTTACCCTTCTTTTGGTGTTAATTGTAATAAAAACCCATTAAGAGATGACGTGTCTTTGTCTTCATGAGTTAGTAAGGTTCACAGGGTCCTCAAACTAATTTTTTTACTTCAATGTCATAAACATCTACTATTACTCTTTGTAGGGGGGCATTTAACCAACTCTGAGTGTTAGTAAATAGTAACAGTCTAACAGACTACTACTTCAGAAAAATTGAATAAAGGTGCATCACTTGTCAAATGTTCTTATATGTACAATATATTTTCAACAGAAAACCATTCATGCTCTTATATGCTTTGACATAATAGTCTGTGTAGCAAATGGTGATTCTAATAATGAAAAATTTGAACAAATTGCCGCGAGTGATTATTTTTATTTTTAAGTAGTTGTTTTTAGGGCGAAATTCAAAAATAGTTAGATTTATAACTGGTCGTTCAAAAATAGCTCAGTTTCAAAAGTAATCGAAATTTAGCCACTTTTCATGTAAAGATAAATCTGAGCGAAAACACTGTTCAAAACCCGATACACCAGTATATTATGCTGGAGTTCCAGCATAAGTATACTTGAACTCCAGCCTATTATACTGGAGTTCCAGGATAATTATGCTGGAACTCCAGCATAATATGATGGAGTTCCAGCATAAGTACACTAGAACTCCAGCATAATATACTGGAGTTCCAGCAAGTATACCAGTCCAGCATAATATACTGGAGTTTGGAGCACCGGTGCTCCAGTCTTATACTGGAGCCAGCAAAATATACCAGTCCAGCATAATATGCTGGAGTTCATACACAGGTGCACCGAACTCCAGTATATTATGCTGGACCGGTCTCTGTTGCAGCAAAATAGTGGCTATTTTTCATTGACTTGGTAAACGCTGGCTATTTTTGAATGACCAGTCCGAAAACTGGCTATACCGTGCTATTTTGACTTGTTTTTAGTTAAAACCTTTAATTGTCGGACTGGGCTTAAAACGGGCGAGTCCAAGGACTTAACACGTCTCGGGTCTTATAGGCCGTAATGGGTCGTCAAAGTAAACCGACCCGCTTTATATATCGGACTATTCGTATTAGCAATTTGCTGGTACTACTATTATTCTCTGCTTGTTTCTCAAGAAAACAAAGAGACTTTTGCTTCTGAAGTAGAAGAAGATGGCACCCGCAGCAGAAATCGAGGATGAGATCAAGGACGAGAAGAACCCTCCGCCTCTTGATGAAGATGATATTGCTCTTCTCAAGACTTATGTACGGACTTTTCTTTCTCCTTATATAAAGCCCAATTTTTCGTATCTTGAAATGTATCTTTTTGTAGTCATAATTATTGTCACTCTGTTGTTACTTATTCGGAACGTCTAGATTACCTGGTGATATATTGATATAATAATGTCTCTGAATTTAGGATTGGGCTTGTATATGAAGCTTCTGAAGGGCTTGGGCCCCTGCACTTCTGAAAAGTTATTGAGCATCAGCAAAATATCTGTAGCTAGAAAGTGATTATTTGGTCCTTGTTTGATGTTTTCAGCATTATACCAGTTCCTTAGTTCCATCAATTGTAGCTAATGTGCCACTTATTCAGCTTGTTTCTGGGAGCTGGGACAGGAAGGAAAGTGGAAAGTGGAAAGTTTATGTATCTGTGCTCTGTTTAAAGGTCTTATGTTGAGTGCAAATAAGTTCAGTTTTGACAGGAAGCTGGGGGTGAACTGTGGCGAATCTAAGTAGAGTCAAGGGGCACCGAACCCCCTTTTTCAAGAAATTACACTGTCCAAATGGGGTAAAAATGATTTTTCTTGGTTATCTGTGAGCCTTTGCATCCCCTTGACATGAAGAAAATTTCAAGTGTAACGGTAAAGCGGGTTCAAAAGTTGCTTTAGATCAGATGTTTTAAATCCCAACTGCGACATCCTAGAACTTTTTCAAATCCCCTTGTATAAATTTTTGATTATCGCAACCGGTAGCAGTTAACTAAGTTGCCTTGGATGAAATGATGCTTTTTAGAACTAGGAGGAACATTTTGACTGTCTCCTACTTTAATTTGTGATTACAGGTCAATTATGAATGCATGTCTTTTAGGACTTCATTGATGTATTCTTGGTATAAGTAGAAAGGAGCTGGCAGTGGTGTATATGATACACATATATTCGTAAAAGTATATATTGGAGCTATCTTTGATTCTATTACTCCATTACCTGAACTAAATTATCTTACATCTTGGAGGGTTATTTACACGAGGATATGGCGTAATCAGGTGATAGGGTTATACAGTTCTTGCGATAAAATGTCATTTGTTTGGATAGACATGTGCATGAAAGCTATTCATGTAAAAAGTGTGTGATCTCATATCTATATATACTTGTGGTATGCCAGTACAAGCAGAGGAGCATACCAAGTCGTATGTATACTGAGTTCGACGAAAGAAAAGTAGACTACTTTTTGTTTCCCTTCTCAATTATAGTTTGGTGCCTTTTCTCTATAGGTTCACCTTTTGGAGAATCCCCTTTATTCATTTTCTAAAAAAAAATACACTAGCTAGTTTCTGTTCATTTTATTAAGATCGCATCTTTTATTAAATTATTAAAATGATTTTTGCAGGGTTTGGGGCCTTATTCAACAAGCATAAAGAAAGCTGAGAAGGAAATCTAGGAAATGGCAAAAAAGATAAATGATTTATGTGGTATGTATTTGTATATCTTAGTTTTGTTCTTTGTTGTTGAAATAATGGTACCTCTAATTGCATAATACTGCTCATTTGCCTCGAATTTGGTCTTCATTGTTTGAGGGCTAGCAAGAAAGAATAGGAAAAAAAGAGAACTTTTCTTATCCCTTATTTCTGTGATTTAATTTTATTCTGTTAAAAGGTGTGATGAGTTTTCCTACTTTTTCTTTTGCACAGTTCCTATAAATGTATGGTGAATTCTAATTTAGAATATCTGCAGGTATTAAGGAATCTGATACTGGGTTAGCTGCACCAAGTCAATGGGATCTAGTTTCTGATAAACAGATGATGCAGGAGGAGCAACCTCTTCAGGTTTGGTTTTCTGGAAATGAAAAGTGCATAAATCTTGTTAGTCAGATACCTTGAAGCTGTAACTAAATCTTTGGAGCAGGTGGCGAGGTGTACAAAGATAATTAACCCCAACACTGAAGATGCAAAATATGTTATAAACGTCAAGCAAATCGCAAAGGTCTTTTATCTTTTTTTTTTTTAAATATTGTATTGGCTGTATTACCTTCATTTCTAACTGTAATTCAATTTGTGTTGGTGTTTGGAGGCAGTTTGTCTAAGAAGCTCTTTGCAAACTGATCGTGAGATATAGAACTCTGCTTAAGCTGTAGTAAGCAGCATATTTTAGTTAGCAGCAAGACATAAATAAGAAGTTTGATGCTTCATGATTGGATATCTATCAGTCATCTTCCTATTCATCAAATTACATTGAATTTATTAACAGGATATTTTCCCTTGATATTGTCTTTAGCCTGAAGGCTTTGTGCTCTGTAGTTTCCTTTTTTTTTTGAGTATGTGATGTATTGCCATGAGAGAAGTGTTGCAGCACTGTTGGTTGGATCTATTTTTGCAATGGATCGTAATTACCTCATTTGAATGTGATCATTTCGTAACTGCAGTTTGTTGTTGGATTGGGTGATAAAGTTTCGCCAACTGATATAGAAGAAGGCATGCGAGTCGGGTATTTCTTCTTCTTCTTCTTCTTCTTCTTCTTCTTCTTCTTCTTCTTCTTTGCCTAGTGTAGATGTTCTTTAGCTCTTAGGTGGAACAAAGAACTTTAGGGGGGATATCTGTTTCTGTGTGTAACAATTT